AATACACCTTTTCATGCTTAAGTTGGGTGGAATTTATGTAAAAAATGAAGTTTAGTCGCTAGATATGTAAATACATAAGAATTATGTTGTATGTATGCAAATCTTCCTTTTTTTGGGTAAAGTTAATAGTGTCGAAACAAAAGTGTAAATTTGATGCTGTTTATATATGATTTCATGATTTTTGTAGTAGTTTTCAAGGTTGTTCAAGACATAGTTAGCTATTATTTAATTCAGCAGTGTCTGCATTGTATACTCAATTGATATATTGTGCATCGTAAAAGAAGGGGGCATTTACATGCATACACCACCCAATTCTTTTGTATTTACATATCTAACATCTACATTTTGCTTGTTCACATTTATACAACCTAAATCTTTAATATCAAATAAAAAATAGTGCTATTTTACCTTTTAAATTTCCCATGTATTTGCATAATTAGCATTTATACTTTCATATTTACGTATATATAATATGTTAAGTGTCATAATTACATCAAAATATATGAATGCAAGGTGTATTTCACTTTAGAAGAACTGTTATTCATTGTATCGTTAATGTGATGTTGAAGATTTTGTTGTTATAGAGTGAATATTAAAACTTAGGTGTTAGATTTATAAATACATAGGAATTGTGCAGTATATATATATACATTTCTTCTACCAAGTATACCTGCTAGACATCTTCATTTTTACTTCTAAGGAAATTTACATGCATTCCACAAATTTTTTATGCATTTGCACATCTGACACCCAAAGTTTGATATTTACATTTATAACACTCGTGATGCTAAAACCTATGCATGAAAAAGGTGTATTTGTAGCTTAGAATGTTAGTAATAGTGGTATTTTTTTTGTAATGCCAAAGATTTCGGTATTATATAGGTAAATATATAAGTTTAGGCGCTAAATATGTAAATATATTATACTTACTTATCATATTGACATCAAAGTATGCATGAGATGGTGTGGTGCACTTTTGAAAAAAATAAATATTTGTGAAATTCTTAATGTGATGTTAAAGATTTGAATGTTATGTAAGGAAACATTAAAGATTCGATGTTGAATATGTAATTGCATAGGAAGGGCATGGTAGGTTGATAAATCTCTCTTAATTTTATTACATATATAACCCTATTTTTTTTTATGTCTGACTAGATTTTTGGCTTTGCAGGCTGCTTGCCTCGCACGTTAATCCGACTTGGCCGCAAGCTGGAAGGTCTGCCTAATGGCGGATCAGGTCGATCTCAGGAACCCTAAGTTTATCATCCTTTCTCATCCTCTACAAATATTTGCCTCGCAATTGTACCCACTTCTTATATACCACACCATGTCTCCCATTGCTGCAATGTGTTCTTTTCACTTGGTATTATCTTATTATATCTGTATTTTTCTTCTCCACTAGATGATAGAAGTTTTGTTTGAAGGCTTTGAATTTAAGGGAATGTACACAATATGCCATGCCATGCAATTCTTATTAATTGCATTTCTTGCACCTAAATTTTGATTTTTTTAGTGGCATTTACATGCATACCGCTCAATTCATTTGTATTTACATAGCACCTAAACTTTATAAGATTTAGGTGTATGAATTACATCAAAATATATATTTGAAAACTTGAATTTCTCAATAAAAAGTCGATATTAGTGCTGTTTTTGGTGTGATTAAGGGTCTGTTTGGGGTAGCTTATTTGGTGCGGTGGCGTTTTGAAAACGCACCTGACCTGTTTGGGTAAACTGCGTTTTGACAGCTTGTGCGTTTTCAAAACGCTAAAAACAGTATTTTCACACCGCACTTATCTAGTTTTCCTTGTGCGTTTTCAAAACGCTAAAAACAGTATTTTCACACCGCACTTATCTAAGTGGCAGCTTTCTGGCTGTGGTCTGACTTTTCTAAAAAAATAAAAATTTGTAATAGCTACCGCATCTAGCTTATCAACATATTATTTTTAATCAGCTATATTATTTTTAATCAGCTATCAGCTTATTAGCAGATTATTCGATAAGTTGCAATTGCCCCAAACAAACCCTAAATATTAGGATGTTGTTAGTAAATATCAAAATTAACAATTATATTTGTTTTCGAACGTGAAATTTGCATATTTATGTGCCACAATCAAATCATTTGCAATTCAAGACATGCGGAAAATATGGGTTGAGATTTTGTTGTGAATTTTGATAATTTTTCGCAAACTTTAATTGCTCCAAAAAAATTGCGACTTTTTACATGCATACCACCCAATTAACATGTATTTACTTATCTAATACCTAAAGTTTATTTTATGCACTCATACCACCCAAAATTTTCATATTACATTAAAAATGCCATCATTAGCTTTTAGAATTGCAATACACAACAACCTGGTATTTATATAAAAATTGAAGTTTATATGCTATATATGTAAACATATAACAATTTACATCATACCACATAATTTTTATTTTTCTACCTACATTTCTCATAAGCAAAACTTGATATTTACAGAAATATGTATTTTATATAAAAAATAATATTTTTTTTTAAAATTAAAAAAATATATATATATTTTATGGATATATTTGAATTTGATTTTGATATCAAAATATTATAAATGTAAGATTAAATTTCAAGAATTAGATAAATAAATGCATAAGAATTGTTTAAAATCTAGGTAAATTCCAAATTTAAAAAATGGTATTTGTGGTTCTCTTATTTGGTATTAATAATTTTAATATTATTTAAATAAACAATAAAATAAAGTTAACAATTAAATGCTATGCATTTAAATCTCCTTATGCATGACGAAAGATTTCGACGGTAGAGGAATTATTTAATATCTTAAAGTTGGACGAAGATACAGCACACACAAATAATTAAAGTGACAGGTAAAGACACCAGAAGTTTTTTTATGTGAAAAACTATTAAAATGTGAAATGAACATGGGGCCTAGCTCAGTTAAAATAATCCACTATATAATTGTGAGTACAAATGTCAATTTTCCTTCTAACTCAGGGAAGATGAAATTACAAAGTTATTGTGTAATAATCATAATGGGTTGCGAATGTCGTAGTTGATTGTTATGAAGACATTAGTTTGTTGTGAATGTTGTAGAGGGTAGTTGTAGGGATATCTTATTGTAGAGGTCATGGTTGAAACTCATTATAGTAGTTGGTCATGTGAAGAATAGATGATTGTTTTAATAACATATATAGGACACATATGCAGTAGTTGAGAGCTACATGAGTTGTTGACCACGTAGCTCGTAGTTGGTCACGTATGTTATTGTGGTGAGCTGTGAAAAACATTCATAAACAACAGAGGATGAAGTGGAGAGTTGCATATGTTGTGAATCACGTAGATCACAGTTAATTATGTAGGTCATAGTAGAAAGTTATGATAATGTCTGTAGACCACAAATGTTGGAGTTTGAAATTATAGGAGTTGTGAGTATATAAATTGTAGTAGGGAGATGTAATAACATCAGTTAGTCGCCAAGGCTATAGTAAGGGATTTTAGTTGCAATAAACCAAATAACTCGTAGGTCGTATTAGGAAGCTATGAGGAAAGAACTTTAGGAGTTCAGAGAAATTCACTATATGTAGGGTGCGTCGTTACACAATCTTTGAAGTGTGTTACTACATTATTTGTGGGGTGTGTGTTACACCATCTTTAGGACATTGCACACCGTCTTCGGGATGTACTGTTACACAATTCACAGGGTATTTTGATTTGTAGGATGCTTTGTTAATCCACAAGTCTAGTCATTATTATGCAATGCGCTTCGTTACTACAAATCGTACATGTTGACTTAGTAAGGGGTTTTGTTGCAATAAGCAAGAGACAACCGATGGTGTTTGACAACGACCAACAAGCGGTGGTCGATGGCGGGAGCTATGGTCGATGATGGCAGGAGCTGCGGTCGACAGTGGTTTTTGCTAGATCTTTAGTGTAAAACAATGAACTTGAACTCCTAGTTCCAATCTTTCTTTGGTTCAAGTTCTAGCTTCCTCTTTCATGAGGGGGTGAGACTCTATTTCTAGTCTGGAAGATGCCTCCGACAAATAAGAAAAAAATACAAACCACTTCACCAGATAACTTGAAGAGTTTCTCTCGATCGAATGATATTTTGTGGACACTTGAGTGTCTTAACAATATCAAAATATTGTGATCTTGAGCTCGTTGAATTCATCTTATCAAAACACTCGATTTGAATTTTAGTATGTGTGATTTGGAATTTGTTTTATCTTCTAATTGAACACTATAAGCTTCCAAAATGATTTAACGATTCGATCTGAGCTTGATTTGACTTGGATTGAATAAACTTTGGTGTCATTTTGTGTTCGTCATGTCGAGTCAATAAGTTGTGTCGTAAATTTATTGAAATCTAAGTTGTAGATGATTTTTATTGAGGTTTGAATATTTTTTTCTCAAAAAGATTTATTTCGATTTTTGTGTCACGCCCAAATTTATGGAGGATGAAAGTTTATATAAGAGTATTCAAATATAATTTTTCTCAAATAAAATTTTGAATTTTGATAGCTTTCATATGAATGATTTGCAAGAATTTTTTAATATAAAATTATGAATATATATAGTTGGCGGGATTCATTGTAAGTCACCTCAAGTCACGGGTTCGATCCCCAGTGACGCTGGGTTCTCAAATATTGAGATATATTGCGCAGACTCTCATCATGAGGCTGGGTTCTCAAATATTGAGATATATTGCGCAGACTCTCATCATGAGGCCTAACGCATGAGAAATCGGTATTTGGGCATTTACCAAATACCGATTTTCTTGTGAAA